CATGTGTGTACATTGAAATTATAAGTATTTGTAAAACCAATTTAAGTGTGTATTAAATAGATTTCATATATAATATAATTTAATTAAGAGATATGGTCAAGAATCCAATATTTTCATTAATATTCAACAAGTTTTTGAAAAAAAAAATTTTTTTTCATATATAATGGGGTATGTAACACTCATAAACTCAAACAAAACACCCACTTTTTTCACCTTTCCGACAATAAAAGACACGTCACTACAAAATTAAATAAAAAATATTTTTTCTTTTGTATTAAAAAAAAAACTTGTTAAATTTAGTTTTTCGTTCTTTATCATATACAAGCAGGCCCAGGCTACTCATATATATATATTATAATCCAATAAATATAATCAAATGACTTTCATTAAAAAATTTGTAAAAAAAAGAAAACATAACCTAAAAAGAAATTTATGTACCCTCAATAAAAATCAATTCAGAAAATTAAAAAAAAAATCTCCTCTTATTAAATTTAAATTTTCGAATAAACTTTTTAAAAATCGCAAAGAAAAGAGAAGACAAAGTACAAAAAAAAAAATCTTTACAATCATACCAAAATAAATTACGTTATTTTTGTGGAAAATAAAAATTAAAGTGTGGTTGGATGGCAACATTGAAATTTCAACTGGTATTTGCGTTGGTAATTTAAAGATTGCATTTATTATATTCAATAATTTTTGTTTTTATGATTATACAATAAAAATATTAAAATAAAAAATAATTCTCATATACCAATTTTAATAACAAATTTCTTTTTATACCTCAACGAGAATATTTTTTTTACACTATAAGTGCGGCTAATACTCGTGTGTTCATCTACAATTTATGATAAGTGTACGAAAATTATAAATTACAAATCATTAAAAAATTTTTTTTTCTATTTACGAATTTTTGTTAGAATATAAAAGGATTTCTGTAAATGAAATCGATTCATAAAAATTGAAAATGCGAGCTCTTTTATTTCAAATATATTTGAATGAGCATCGTCTATAAGCGATGGTCATAAAAGTGGTAATATAGTATAGAAAAAATTATAAAGGTTGCGTGCTAATTTTTAATAAAATTCTATTTTTTGTTTTCCTTATATTTTTAAAATTTCATTAAATATAAATCACAAATATCAAATTTAATTTATGGTAAATGAATTTAATAAATTTTGATTTTAAGATTCTATATTTCTTGTTTAATATAAATTATTTATTTTTTATAAATCATATTGAATTTTTAAATAGAATTGATTTTCATATAATTTTTTTTTATTGTAATTCCAGAAATTTGCAGTCTTTTTTTATTTATGCCAAAAAAACGTACATGCATTCGAACGTAAAATTTGCTTGGAATATTTTTTTCAATTTGGATTCCATTGGAATTTTTTATAAATTTGGAATTGCACTAATTTTGGATATTTACTCGCATAGATTTGCCAATATAAGATTTGCAATTATATATGTACCTCAATCTCTCGTGAATGAAATATCTTATTTTGGTAAAATGAAAATTTGACTTTCCATTTACGTTTTCATGAAATTCAGTAATTTCATTAGACTGAAAGCTGAAGAAAAAGAAAGCCCAGGTTCGATGTAGAAAAGTAGTTTTAATATTTGAATATTTGTAATTTTACATAAAAAAGAAAGTGGTCAAGTACGCAACTTATGGGTGAATTTCTAAAAATACCATAATAACAAAATACAACCAAAATTAATACAATTTACTTTTACATTTTAAAAATATATTCAACCACATAAAAATAATAATAATTATAAAATATGAATTTTATAAAACTAATTAAAAACTCTATCTACCATATAATTAATTTTCATTTATTTTCCTTCAATCCATTAAATAACTAAAACATAAAACGCATTTCAAATAAAAAACCAATCGAATAATAAAATATGAAATTCTTCTCTTGTACAAACAACTGCACACTGAACACATAAATATATAATCAATACTTATATAACATTAAAACAGCTCTTATTTCAATTATTGAAACCGAGAATTAATTTTACAAAGAAAGCAACACAAACAAAAATGAAGAATTAAACAAAAATTGTCTTTTAAATTCCTTATATATTTCAAAAGAAATTGTAATTTAACACTGAATAAAAAAATGTATGTATATACATATATGTATAAATAATTATGTAGATTCACTATTGCATTTAATGTTGCGATATAATTTATGAAAATCGGCTTTATAATAATCAAATGTCAGAAAGTTAAACGTTTTTAGTTTTCTTCTTCTTATTTCATTGTATAGGAATGTTTTCAACAAAACAAAGCAGTGGTATACGGTTGAAAATTTTATTTGAAAATTAGATAAAGAAGCTAAAAATTAAAATTATATGTGATAAAAATTTAACATATTAATTAAAGCAATTCTCATGGAGCAATGTCTACTTAGTTTTAAAGCGTTCCGTTTAGGAGTATATAACACTCTAGGTGTATATTACCCTAGGCGTATAAAAACATGTGAACTTACATATATAGATAGAAACCTTTTCAAACTCTTTAAAGAGTTTTTTATAAATTGAAATTTTAGTAAACGTCTTATTGAGTACTTCTAGAAATTGCGTTAGGTACGGATCCTATTCGTTTCATTTGCCGAATATTCCGTAGTATAGCAGGCGGAGGAATTTTTTGTGAGAGTGAGAATTTTTTGTGAGAAGTTGTTGTAGTTGCCTTAGTTCCATGTATTTTCTATTTTAAAATTAAAAAAAATATTTTATTGTATTTAATAATTTAATTACAAAAATATTTGATCAATCTATATACATGTATAATATGTTGAGATTCCCGCACGTTCTAAATTTAAATTGAACAGTTCTCCTATATAATATGGGAACAATTGCATGTTATTTGATTTATTTTTAACTAGATATGTGAGTTTTTTCTTTATTTTCAATTCATTATCGAATATAAATTTTAATTTTATTACCATTTTCTTGTATAATGCACCTTTTTATATACACATATTATGTATGCATTAACATAACTTATGCATATACATACATTATTATAAATTACACATTTGTTGTTTTTTTCTGGACAAATCCATATATTTTTGTTTTCTCTTTCTCTCACTATTTTAATTGTATTTTTATTAGGAATTTATTTTTATTTGAATATAACAAGTTTATTTTAATGTCTTTCTTAAAGGATTATTTTAAACAATTCTATTAATCTGTTAAAAATAAAAAATGAAAAAATAATAATAAGAAATAAAAGAAAAAAACAAAATAAATCTAAAATAAGCTGTTAAAAAAAATAATAATACGAAAGATTGTCAATGGGTGGCGTTGGCGGATTAATTTATTGGAAATGCCACTATTTTTTTTTTTTATTATTTCTCTCTTTTCTTTTTTTTTTTTGTGTATTTGTGCCACCAACGATAGTTATGATGAAAAAAATTTAATACAAAAACAACAAAATTAATATTAAAAAATAAAAACAGAGATTTTTCCAACATAAAATATTATGTGAAAGGATAAAGGTAAAAAAAAAGGTATTATATTTTGTTTTTTATTAAAAAATTAAGTGAGTTATAAATAAAAATTATTATTTATATGTCATAGATATTTATATACAATACACTACATTACAGTATATAATATTTATGTGAGTTCATGTAACAGCACTTTGATTAGATGAAGAAAAAATTCTCTCATTACACATGAAGGTTGGAAAACACGATGAGTCAACAAAATTTGAGATGCATTTGAAAGGATGTCAAATACAGGTTGTTAGAAATAAAAAAAAAAACAGGTAGAAAATTCCTTAGTTATAAATTTAATTGCAAAACATAAATTTTCTTATATAAAAATTAAGTAATTATACTTTTCCTTTTAGGTTATGCAAAAAAAAAATGGAATAATTAATGAAGTGCGTGTAAAACAGAATGTAACAGAAATTTACGGATTATACACCTTATAGACTTTGAAATTGGATTTTAAAAGAAAATATTTAAGTATTAGACTCTTCCCAGTTTCTTAAATATTTTTATAAAACAATAAACTGATTACATTAATTATTATAATATTTTGGCGTATATAGTCGAAAATATTTAATAAAAAATTTTTATTTAAATTATGCTATGTTTATAAAAATTAGAATATTTAACAATGGCATAATTAATTTTAAAAATCACAATTAAATAATTATTTATTAGTAATTAAGTATATTGTAATTACATAATCTCTATATTATACATTAAGTTATTTATGAAAAATTAATAACAACTAGTTAATTGTTTGCAAAACCGCTCATTATTTAAGTTTCTTACAAATTTTATTTGAAAGAATTAGAAAATAAGAATCATTTTAATTTTTTTTTTTTAATTAATTTGACTAATTTAATTGAAACTTGTTCTCATTAAATAATTTCTGACATACTGTTTATAAATATTATTTAAAATAATAAATTAATAATAATTATTTCCCAAAATTTTATTATATGACTGTTATGAACGCAATTTGTAATAAAGATGTATTTATTACAAGTCTTTACAACAAATTAAAACTAATTTTCATTGAAATTCTAATTAATCATTTTAATATATTAGAAAATTGAAAAGTCATAAGTAATTATTTTTACAATTTCCTTAAATTGTTTTATAATAAAATTTAATAATAGTTTTATTTAAGTAGTAACAACGACATCTATATGGTGATATTTTCAATAACAAAATTAAAATTTCTTTATTTATAATGTTCAATATACACACATGCGTATACATTTTATAATATGCATACATTCAATTCTCTTCATCAAATACCCGAAAACTTTATTACTGTCATTTTCTTATAATTATATTTATATGAGAAAAAAATGGGAAAGAAAAACAAAAATAATTTTTTTTATTGAAAAAAAAAAAAAGAAATTCACAATTTTAAATTTAATTATACAAATTTAAATTTTATGCATATGTGCATTTTAATTTTTAATAAAAATTTTTTTTTTTAAATAAATTTGTACTTACCGTTATAAAGTTCATTGATATTTCCATTTTTTTCGTTATCATTTCCTTTTTATTATATTTGAAGTTTTTCTTTAATTTTTAAAAACTATTTTCCGATTAATTGTACAAAATTATGAAAATTTTGTACAATTATTTTTTGAATTTGTTTTAATTTTTTTTTATTAAAATTATAAAAATGTTTATAAAAGTTGTTCTAATCTTAATTCGATATAGTTTTAAAATGTAAAATTAATAATATAATTAATTAATTATTTTATTTTATGTAGTAAATTTTTATTTGAATATAAAATTATATTCCATATTTTTGTTAAAGTAAAGTCTATTAAAAAATTTTATTAAAAAAAAAAAATTTCAAGGAAGAAAATTTAAAATCCAAATATAATTACGGTACACACACGTAATTATGAAATTTCTTTAATATGTTTTTGAGGTTAAGTCATAAAAAGTTTGATTATAAATTTATTGTCGTAATTTGTACAAATCGAATCGAATTGTAAGTACAATTATAATTTTTTTTGTGACCGTCAATTTTATTTGTTTTTTATTGTTTTCTTTTTTCAATTTTTATATAACGCTGCAAGCTAAAATAATCTATAAGATTAATTTTTATGTTCATTAGAGAATTTAATTGTATTTAATAAAAAAAATTGCAATAAGTATGTAAGTATAGTTTTGTAAAATAATATATAAAGACAATTTATAATTTGAATGCTTGATAAATCTTAATAAATTTAATAGAAAAATAAATACATAGATGTAGTTCAAGGCTTATTAAAAAGAATAATTACATTAAATTTTGTAAATGCAATTTTCCTTGAATTTTTTCAATTGATTCAAAATTTTTTTAAGTATTTTTTATTTAGAAAATTTCTAATTCAGTAAATTTCTTTACGAATTTTTAAAAGAATTCAAAAAATTATTTATAAAAAATTAATATCAGACAGAACTTAATGCCTTTTTTTATTTTAGGAGTGTCTTCCAAAGGATGCGATGATTAAATATCCTGCCTTTATATCAATTATTTGAAAAAAAATGTTCTTCAGCACTTGTTGGTTTTATTTTTATTATTATTCTTTTACCTTTTTCACTATTTATAATAAATTAACGGTAATTTTTTTTTATAAATACACACAAACATGAAACAAAAAATAAAATTTTTTTTATCACTTCTTATCTTTTTTAATATTTTCTTTTCTATTTTTCTAAATTATTTGTTTAATTTTTTAAGAAAATGCGTCAAGTTTTACGTTTATTTTTTATTTTAGTTTTAGACTTAAAAGAATTCTAATTCTGTACACGTTCTCTTCTTTTTTTTACAACAAAAACTTTACAAAACTGAACTGAAGTTCTTTTAATAATTTTTTTAATTTCTATTCTTTTTTTTTGCTTTCTATATAGGAGAAAATTGTTTTTTAAATGAATATGGCAAAAAAAATATTTCAAGAAAAGATGAATATATTTTTTTTCTCTCCAATAATTTCTCCAAATAAGGTAAAATAATAATTATAATAGCAAGAAAAACGAAAAATAACTTCAAATTTATATTATTTTTTTTTTCTTCTCTTATTAGATTTTTCCACTATGATTTCTTGACGGAAGAAATTTTTCCGTGTGTTTTTTTTCTATTTTTTTTTCTACTTAATGTGTGCAATCAATTCGATGGTCAGATACTAACTGAAGAGGACTAGACCATCATCTGGCTTAAGAACGTTACAGAAAAATAATCCAAGAAAGTTGAAAAATGTAAAAAAAAGCAGCAAAATAAAAAAAAAATAACATAAAATAAAAACGTAAAGAAATAAGAAAAAAGTTCATAAAAGTAAGAAAAATAAAAAAAAATGAAAAGAAAAATGGAAAATGAAAATAAGAAGAAAAAAACAAATTAAAATTTTCACATTCCAACCATAGGTGCTGCATATATGGTGGACAGATTGAAAAAGCAGTGTGATTAAATGTCAAAAAATTGTTCCGCATGTGAATTGCAAGAAGAAATAATTAAACATTTGTCTTATACGTTTTTGTTCTTAAAAAGGTAATTAATTTCTAAATTATAAAATTTGAAAAAAGTTTGAAGAGAAATCCATGGTATTTAAATGGCACATTTTCATTCAACAATATAAGTCTAGAGTTTGTAAAACACACAAAGTTTTTATAGGTCAGGTAATGGAAACGATCTATTAAAATAATTTTCTTTTCATAAAATTTTGCATATATTTAGGAGTAATATCTGAATATTCATTTTTGAAAAACTTTATACTAGTGATAATAAAACCTACATAAATTTTATACCGAACATAGGGAAGAGAAATTTCACAATTTGAAATTATTCATTTAAATTACTTAGTTTAGCCTGAAACCCTTTAACCTTAAATTTATTTACAAATAAGCTATTAAAGAAATTTTTTACTACAGTAGAATAAAATAATTATGAATATATTGCGTAAACTATTAAAATTTTGTCACCTATTCGACTGACCGTGTAGTAGAAAAATTACTTCAAAAATTGCATATTCACGGTTTGAATTAACGGCTCAATTCGAGCGTCAGACATAAATAGAAAATGATAGAAAATGTAATCTGTAACCTTTTCTGCATTTGGAGAATAGAAAATTTGTGTTTTGGTTTGAACACAGTCAATTTGTAAAAATAATCTTCTATCTAATCAAAAGATTTCTGAGTCAACAAAGAAAAACTTCAAAACGTGAAAAGAAAATGAGAATTGTATTCTGTTAAAAAAAAAAAAACATTTTTATGCACGGATATTTATAACAAGATTTTAAATTTAAGCTAAAAACTGAGCGAACGATTTGAAGCTGGTGCGCTTCTTTCTTTTTCCCATTTTTTATTCTTTTATTTTTGTTTCTTTTTATTCTTTTATTTTTTTTTTTGTATATTTTTGCCCATTTTATTTTGTCTTTTGTTTTTAATTTTTGGTTTTCTTTTTTTTTTTTATTTTCTTAATCCAACAACATATCTTTTTAAAGCATATATAAATAACTTCACATGCATATAATATCAATAACACATATGTACATACATGTATACAAACATACATATGTGTACATTAATTTATTTTACATATGATATAGATATGGATATAGAGATTTATATATTTTAATGCTCGGTTAAATGCGATATACTAAATACACATACCTAATATATATGTATATTTCTACATTTGTACACATATAATTCTAAAATATGTACATATATATATATGTATGCATATGATTATGTGTTGTTTTTTTTCTTTTTATTTTTTTTTCTTTTCCCATTTCAAATATAATATAAATATAAAAATTCTATGTTTACTTTTTAGAGCAACTTTCTTATTTTTATATTAGGTACTCATTTCTTATACAATTCAGCTCTTTGGTAAAGTCGTAAAATACGACAGGTTGGTATGCATGCAATACAAATGATGTTTTTGCGGTTTTTTTTAATGCCGCATCCAGCTAAATATCAAGTAGGTAACTACATAAATTCATACATAATATGTATGTATATTTACATTATGTTTACCTATACATAAGAGGAGTAGGTAAGTATATTTTCATATAATATTAAAAATTAGCGATTTTTGTTTTATTATTTTTTTTTATTCTTTTATTTCTTTTCTATTTATTTTATTTTGTTTTTTTTTTTTAGGTTTGTAATCAAGTAGTTGGCTTAGATTCACGATCATCATTTTACATCATCATCAAAAGAAGAAGAAGAAAAAAATAAAATTATCATTATTGTGTGAATAATATTTTTAAATGAAATTTATTACGATATGAAAATTTTTTTAAATTAATATATTAATAGGAGTATGGCAACACTGATTAAAATTATTATAGAAAAAATGTTGCTAAGTATTTTGTATATATACAAAAAAAATTTGCAATAATAATGTTTGAATATGAATGTTAAAATGTTGCCTGCAATAATTTTTTCAGTATTGGAAGAAAATAATTTTTTGATAGAATATTTATTTTAAAAAGATTTTTTTGTTAAAGGCAATAATTAGCTAAATTAAAATTTTAATATAAATTTATGTTTGTAAATATTTGCATTTTGTTAATATTATAATAGTTGTTTGGGCAGGCACACATTCACTCTTAAATACAAAACTAAAATATGTAAAATTAGACAATTAAATTATTGTATTGCACCATGATTTGTTTATTAAATTATTATTATTACAATAAGTTTCAAAATAATCTATATACCTAAGTACACATATAAAAAAATTGTTTTTTAATCTAGTATTGTTTTAGTATTTTGTTTAGAAAAATCTTATAGTGATGACAATTTTTTGTAATTACATACACGAACTACTATTTTTTAGTGGTGCTATTCCAAATTAAAACAAATAATTCTCTAAAAAAAAAGTAGGTCGCTTGGTAATTATAAAAATTGTCTTCTGCATACAACTATAAGCTCTATACACAATAGAAAAAGGTCAGATTAATATAACACGTAAAACCTAAATTTAGTAATAATTATTTTATAGATTTTTAAATAAATTATTTAATTGTGATTTTATACTATAAAATACATAAAAGTGAATTTCTATAATTATAAATGGAAGTTTCAAATTTGATTAATTATTGTAATGTATAAATAAGTTTTACTAATTTTGGTTACTAATTCTAAATTTTAATTACAATTTATACAAAAAATACAACTGATCTGTTATAATTACTGAATTATGTATAGCTGCAATGGTATTACTGCAATTTCGAAGTCAAATTAAATTAGTTATATTAAATTAATTTATTGAATTTTATATACAATATTATATTTTAAGAAAATCATAAACTAGATTTAACATTCCTGAGTTTAAAATAATTTTAATTTCCGTGTTTAATGAATGAATTTTGCCCTTAAACAATATTGAACAATGTATTGTTCTAAATACATATTAAAGGAAATTTGTGTTATTTTTTTCAACAAAATCAAAATTTTCTTACAAATTTTATCCTACTTTCATTAACTTTAATGTTAATGAAATGAATTCAAAATTTAAAAAAAAAATTATCATTTTTTCCATAAAAATATGCGAAAATTTTCTTAAAGCAAAATAAAAATTAAACAATACAAAAATGTAAAAAAATTGCAATCTTTATGAGAAAAAATTTCAAGCTCAAGCATAGTTTATTTGAAAAAAAAAAAAGACAAGTTCATTGAACTCTTCATTAATTTTTTTTTTTTATTTTTAAATTTTTCAATAAAAATTTTTAATTTTTCAAAAATTAAGTTGCAATTTTTTTCCCTTTCTTCATATTTAATTCTATAAAAGAAATATCGTACACATTTTTTTTTGTTATCAAATAAATTTAATATACAATTTATGTAGGTATGTCCACCGTGCATACTATGTGCCTCTTCTTAAGAGTGTTTTTTTTTTCTGATTAAACATTATGTAGATTTTATTTAATATTAATTATTACAAAAATTTTTAAATTATGCCTTCTTCCGAATAAAAAGGACCATTTAAAAGGTTATATGCAATATGCATGGTGTTCATGTTTTTTGCCTGCTTTCGCTGCTGCATAATATATAAAATCGCGATTTGTTCTAAAGTTAAATCATATCATATTTCAATCTGAAAGTACATAATAAAGAAGGTTTAAAAATTATTTTTGATTTGTATTGACAATTTTATAAAAATTATAGTACTTATGCTACATTATAAGAAATTGGTACATTTTTTATATTATTTTCGACTTTACATTTTTCCAGTCTTCTTCCATTACACTTCATTTAGTTTTTTTTTTAAAAAATATCACTTTCAACTGAATAGAGATCTTCAGAAAGTTAATTAACCTAAAAATATGCAATAATAAAACTTCGGAAAAATTAAAATAAAAGTTATTTTTATTTCATACATATATAGTTTATTTAGCTAGAAAAAGTGTTTCCGATATTACTCTATACAAAATTATATTGTATTGGATTTATAACCTAGTAAAATTTATTTTTAACATATTTCATATCAATGAAAAGCAAAATATTATTGTAATCAGTAATTGTAAACTGTCTCAATTAGTATATATTTTAATTTTCAATTTTATTGCAATTAATTTTTATGGCTATGGCTTTCTGTAATAATTCCATATTATTTGTGGTTGTAAATTTAAAAATTTATATTATAGTTTATGTGCTTTTTAATCAAAGACAAAGGCAACACTTTTTCTGTATCATTAAAAAAAATAAAAATTCCAAGAATTCTGGTTTTTTTTTTGCAAAAATAAAAAAATAATAAGTTGAATTTTTTTTTATTTTTTGGGTTTTAACCAAAAAAACAAAAATCAATTTTTTTTTCATTTATGCTTTTATTTTTCTGTTTTTTTTTCTTTGGGAAGAAAGAACATCTTTAATATGGAATTCGATTCGCATCGAGAGGATGCAATATTATAATTGCAAGAGGCATTATTTTAATAACAGCATCCACATTAGATTTGTTCCTGTTTTTTATCTCATTGGTGCGCTTCTTGATTTTTTGTTCATAAAATCTAAATACAATGAAAATATTTTATCAAAATGTTTTATTTTTAGTCTTATTCACAGTGATTCAAGAAGTAATCAAAAAAAAAATATTTGGAGTTTTATAACTTTTAATTTAAAAATTGAATTTAAAATCTTTATTGATTACACATGTATATTAAAGCTCATATTTTTGAATGATATTCAAAATTTTC